TATATATATATATATATATTTTTAAATTCGTTTGTTATAGAGGACATGGGTGTTGACAGAGCTACCTCTCGGCATCTCCGTCTTCACCAGAGCTTTCAGCGTCTTGTACCTTTCAGTACGGCTAGCTTCTGAAACATGGTCTTGAGCTGGTTGATCATATCAAACACGCCATTCCCCTCAAACTGCCTCTGCAAATTCGGTGCCATGCTTCCCAACATGAGACAAGAAATCTCGTTGTCGTCAGTCTGATTCTTCAACCAAGCATCCTTGACGACCCTTGTGGCACTGGCTGCAGGCTCTGGTGGTAGAGCCCATTCCAGGACGTACGACTTCTTGTCGTTCTTGAGAACAATTCTCAAGTTACAATACCAATCTAAGAAGTTCGTCCCGATCAACTTATCCTTCTCAAAGATAGATCGCATTGTCAAACTCGGTACACTACCGGTCTGATCACACCATCTTTACTTGAGAATTTTATGAGTGGATTGAGATCTTTATCATCGAATTCACGTGCATATGAGTCGTCTAGGGGTAGAGTATGCCCTTGTTTTGTCCATTTCAGGATCAAGTGGTGCAGTGAAGTCTCCGGGAGAAAACAACGAAAAAATCGGACGAAAACGCGGAATGTGGAACAAGAGCAAAAACAGGCTACCGCCCTAGAAAGTGATCTGGCCGCCCTAAAGTGATAGAAGCCTCGATATTTAACAGAAAATTCAGGAGGGCTGCCCATAAGTTCTGCCGACCGCCCGAAAATGTGAAGCATATTCGGGCTCCCGCCCTGAAACACAAAGAGACACCCATTTCTGTCTGACGAAATTCATTTGTTGTTTTGGGTCATTTCCAAGCCCATTAGTGAGAAAGAAGAAAGCCCTAGGGTTTGCTGAACAAAGGGAAAAGAGGGAAAGCAAAAAAGGATCTTTTGGCAATTTAAAATGGGGAGAAACCACTTTGGGGAAAACTTGGAGCTTGGGAGACTTGGAGAAGAAGAGAAGTGATCATCACCATTGAAGACCAATCTAAGCATTCCTTTCTCTTCTCTATCATGTTCTCCTTTGTTTCTTCTTGTTTTCTTCCTTTGAGTATGGAGTAGAACCCTAGTTGTGGGGGAGGGGTCCCCCTTTTTGTATGGATGTTGGGTTTCAATCTATGGTACTCTTTTAGTTATTTCTATTGGTTTGATGTCTTGACCTTCATGCTTTTGATCTTGGCAAAACCTTGATTGAATGATTTTAGAACAACATTGATCATAGATATATGAGAATATCAAATGAATAAAGCATTCACATTGAGAGATGGTTTGACTTGTTTAGGATTTATGATAGGGGTTGTTAATGCATCTAGGAGTCCTCTAGATCATCGAGAGATGGGTAGTTGATTTTCTAGATAGTAGATCTAAGCTTGAGAGAGAAAGATCTTATACAAAGAGCCTTGAAATCCCCAATTAGAAATGATGATCATGAGTGCCATCACATTTTGAACATCCATACCCGTGAAAGGGACCCCGAACCCACAACATTCGTGTCCAATCGTTTTCATCACACAAGTTTCGTTTGCTTATTTGATCCTCTTTTCATATTTACATTTTCACAAACACCTTGCAATCAATATTTTCCATCATCTTTGATCTAGTTTAAGAATGGATTAACACAACATAGTCCTCGTGATCGACCCCGGTACTACAACTACCGTATACTTGCGGATAGTGGTACGAATCGGGTTACAAATTTAGAACTCGATGCGTGCGCATCAAGTTTTTGGCGCCGTTGCAGGGGACTAGGCGTTTTTCGTGTTAGTCTAAGTTTTTGCTAGGTCATCATTGCTTGGGTTTCTACTTGGGATCTCTTAGTGTTACGATGTTTTCTCACCTTTAGCTAGTTTTCTTTTCACTCTTCTCTACGTGCAGATCTCTCGGTGTATGACAAGAAGCACAACCGACAAGGATCAACTTCTATTTGATTCAGAAATTGAGAGGACTGTACGTTTTACT